GAAAAGGGGAAAGAGGCAGAGGGGAGGAATCAGATATAAAAAAATCCAAGAGCACTGGATGATTAAGCGGTAGCAGTTCCTCTACCACTACAAAACCGCAACAAACACACACAGAGGCTTAACAACACCGAACTCTCAACTGCGATGTGCACCTCACTTCGCTGGCCTGAAGACACCGAATGCCCAAAGCACAGAGATAATTGAAAATGTCTGAATGGCTTTAATATGAATCCAGCTATTGGACTGAAGCGAGTACCAGGGAGGGCTTTGCTCACTCGCTGTCCTTCTCCTCCGCTCGAAGGAGCCGTTTCTGCCCGTGCCTTCGTGGTGGCTCATCCCTGAGTCATTTCTCATTCCTCTCCTTCAAAGACAGAACCTCTAATTAGGAAAACTGAGAAGAGAAACAGACATAGAGCGTGAATTAGAGGAGGCTACGGCAGAGAAGGCACAGCCACATTAACAACGCCAGTCACGCTATCGTTTTTACCTTTTCCCTCCTTGGATTTAGAGCTTTTCTGAGTTCATGGTGAGAGCTTTCCATACAGTTGTTTTGGGCATTTCATCCGAGATGTTAATTTCAGAAGGATCAACCCTGCAATAAATATTTCAGGTAGGAAGTCTGTATGTGAAGTTCCTAACAGATGCCAAGGGCATTAGCACGTGCCAGTCGGCGCACAGAGGAGCGGCCACAGAGAACAGAGCGGTGCAGCTCATGGAATGTAGCACAACACATAGATTTACTGGATTGCAAGTTTTAGGAACCGAGCTGCTGAGCATCAGCTGTGCAAAGGGTCTTGCAGGCATTTAGCATCTCAAACCACGTTCCCAAGCCGCTGCTACTGGCAGACACATGCTTGAGTTCCCTGTTCCTAAGTGTTTGGAGCCCTGCGTGCTGTGTAGCTGGGATGATGCATGTTCTGGGAGTCATTAAATTAAGGGAAAGGGTTAAACTTCACTTTCACATCGAGCTGGGGGTGTCCTGGCACTCAGCACAGTTTTACCTATCATTATCTTGCTTTGAGACATCTGAGTAGCTGGTTTTGCCCAGCTTCAGCTGGACTGAATTTGCTGCAGCAGCTTCCATCATCTTCTGAGACTCCTGCAACAAAAAGGGACAAAAGTCAAAACTCTGTAACAGGCAGGCTCATAGCCCCAGGGAGACGTGTAGCTTTGAGCTCTCTGCAAATGCTACCTCTTCTTCTTTGGCTTCGTTTTTGGCATCGTCCAGTTTCTTCTTCTTGCTTTCTGGCATAAGGTCGTCCAGCCAACTGAGCTCCCGCTTCGAGAAGCAGAAATCCATGACCTTCCGCACAAAGACGAGAGCCAAAACCTTCCCAAACAAAAGAGATGCAGTTAGGCCAGCAAAAGGGTTGCGTTTCGCTCGGATGCGAGGGCTCTGGCTCCGCAAAGGCGCTGCTGTCAGGTGCCAGCTCTCACCATCATGGGGAAGACGATGGCCGCGGGGGACGCTTTGATGATCCAGAGCAGAACGAGGCAGGTGAGCTGGATCAGGGTGAAGAGATGCACTTTGCGCAAGGGGACGTGTCGCAGGTAGATGAAATCCGGCTGGTGTTTCTCCGGCATCCCAAAGAGCTTCAAGCGATCAAAGAACTGCAAGATCACAGGGAGATGTTACCCCCTTGGGGCAGGACACAGAAGGTCTTGACAAGCCCTCGCTGCCTGAAGCAGAGAGAGCTGAACCTACCCTCCCAACCACCCAAGAAGCCCCATATTTCATTCTTGTACCACTTATTTTTCATTGTTTGCCCTCAGAGGCTTTTCCCAAGTCACTGATCAGAAGACTTCATGCTTCTGAGATTAAACAGCAGGGAGCCGACATGCCGTGTGCTATAAAAGCCCAGACCTGAATTCCTCGGAGCGATGATAATTCCTGCAGCAACACAAAGTGTTTCTTTTTAGCCTGGAGATGAAATTACTTCTGTGGGAAAAACGTGCAAGAAAGCCCTTGGGAATTATTGCAATGTATTTAACTACCAGAAATGGTTGTTCCGAGGCATTTGGGGAGTAAATTGTAACCGAAAAACTGCTGCTTGTTTGAAAAAGAACAGACGCGGTGGTCTGAATACACTTGATTGTAGCCCATAAACACAGATGGGCTTGAAAGGCACACGAAGAATGGAGCATCTGTGTCGCTCGCTTCCCTCCAGCGCACCAAATCGAGGGCTAGAAAACATAATTGAGGTCAGAATCTAACCGTGCATTCAGACCTGAGGTTTGGGGTTGCATCCTCTTGTGCCCCACAGTTATTCAGCCCTGAAGCAAAGGGAGTAGTTAGAAGGTTTTGCATCCCCTTACCTTTAATACACCAGTCAAGAAGACGGAACAACCCATGAGCACAAATATCATCAAGCCGGTGACTCTCTGCTCTTGTATGCCCAGAAACCTGGGTTGTTCTCCTGGCGCTGAGGAGCCAGACTCCAACTTGAGGCTGTTCACGTGGGTGATGGAGAGGACGGTCGCAGCCACGAACCACGGCAGCCCCATCACGGAGCACACGCCGAGCATCACGGCCACCATGAGAAGGTCCAGGTGGTACCCACATCCTTTCTGCGGGGAGCAAAGACAGGCGCAACATCCCACAACACAGCTCAAGCCCAACTCAAGCCAACTTTTGGCAAAATAAAAGGAAAAAAAGGAAAAGAACAGCTAGGCTTTGTGCAAGCACCTCTTGTGAAAGCCTGGCAAGAGCTCAAAGTGGATTTGGGGCTTTTTTATGCAAGTCCTACTTAAAAAGAAAAAAAAAAAGTCCTGTTTTATTTTTAATTCATAAAGTTTCCACTAATTCCAAGTAAGAAAAGACTGTTTTCCACAGCAGCGTGGCAAAATGATTCGTTCCCCTAGCTGATGCTGACATTTGAGAACAAAAAATCTCTTCTATATTGCTTTAAGATCAGTTTGCTGCTCTCAAAGACTGCTCATGTGAGTCCTCTGCAGTTTGTTGCAACACAAATGACCCCGGAGAGCATCCCACAGAGCAGATCAACACCATCCCAAATGGATACTTTGGCTAAGCCCTGGGAATAGCTGTTTCTCCTGGAATCAGCAGCAAGGGGAAGGCTGGGGAGGGAGTCACTGCAGAGCAGCCCCCTTACCTGAAGCTTGTGCTCCTTCCTGTTCACAATGACAGCAGTGATCTGTTGGTCCATGAAGACCAAGATGGTGCAGAGCAGAGCGGGGATGACCGCTGCCAACACCGTCCACCAAGGGTTGGGTCCTATGGGGTTGATGAGCCACCCACGGTCATCTCTGGTGGGCTGTGACAAAGCACGGACAGCAGCGTTGCCTCCTGCTCGGCCACTTTGCTGGCCACCATCACCTTCCCCTGCAGCTCTGTCCCAAAGCACTCAATTACCTTGAACATATGGGGAACTTGAAGCTTGGGCGATGGGACCCCGATCAGGAAGTCAATAATCACCATGATGACGATGGTGAAGAAAACAGCAAAGTCACTTATGGTGGATCGTACCTGAGGCGAGAAACCTGAGCTGAAAGGAATTGCAAACACTGTCACAGAGTTAGGCAGAAGAAGTAGGGGACACAAAGTCAAGGCTGGTCAACAAAATCCCACCGCTCTGAGGACAGCCAAATCCCTCGATTAGATACTGCTGCTGTATTTGCCCCTGCAAGACCTTCAGACAGAAAAAACAAACAGTTCAATGGGGTGGTCAAGTTGTGGCTCTAATTCAGATCTTAAGAAAACTGCCACAATATCCACACTCACATGTAAAAAGGGAATAAGGCACCATGGCATTGTTTGTTCCCTGTAAATAAGAAATACAGACTTTTTCTACAAACCTCACATTTCTTTCGACTTTCCCCTTGAGCACCTAAGTCAAGTGCTCAAGTGAGGAGTGAAGAGAACTCTAGAGGACCCGATTTTCTACTGCCCAGCACCCTGAGCAAGAAATCCCCCCTGGGGCATGTTGCAAGGCAGATGAGAAATGTTATAATGACTCTGCACTTGTGGAAATGAGTTTGAGACATCCAAGCTGATGGAGAACTTGGCCTTTTAAAGGCTTCTCCATTAAGGACCTCCAGGCAAGTGGTGGCAAGCACTAGTTCGTGTCGCAGTCGAGTAAAGGACTGTTCCTTGCCACTGTTGTCTACCTACTCTGGTTGGGAAATAGCGGCTGGTTTTAAAGGTCTTCAACGAGCCCGACAGGACAAAGGTGGCGAAGAACAGGATGCAGGACCAGAAGAGGACATTGGGTGTGTAGGGACCATCGTGTCCGCAGGCAGGTCCATGAAATTCTCCATGCAAACGCCGACATTCCTGGAGAAACAGAATGTCAGGACACAACAGCAAAGCACGAGTGGCAAGGAAAGCTTGGACTCCTAAGAGTTTTCTAAGGATCATGGTCCCAGATCCAAGGGACCCATTGCTACTGCCTGAAGTTTCTACTTGCTGAGCAGTAGCAGCTGAACAAGTTGAACATGCAGCACATGAGACTCCGCAGAGCGGCATGGACAGGCCAGCCCCATCAGGACACCATGCCATAGATCCATGGCACATCCACGGATGTTCAACCATTCGAAGAGCAGGTGACCATGGCCAGAGAAGACACCACGGGAGAAGGAAGCATCCAGCTGAGGATGCTGGAAACTCTTAGGGAAAAATGCAGAGGGAACAAGGAAGGATAACTAAGATAACAGGGGTAGGAACAGAGAAGGGACAACTTGTCCCTTCCCAGGGAAGGCCTCACAGGACCTGGGCAAGACAGCATGAGGATGCCCATAAAATTCTTGCATCCTACACACAGGCTCTGCAACCAGCAACAACCACCCCAGTGGCTGCTCATACGTGCAGAGTTATGCATGTTCTTACAGACGCTGCCGAATAAGAGCCAGGGACGCACGTTTATTAGGAATTAATAAAGGAAACCAATTAGTGAAGGCATAAACGCAGGTCCTCCAACTTCCACCACTTCATCTTGATTTATCACAGCAGCATCAGCACACTTTGAGATATACCAGCACCTTAAGGGCTCTGACTTTTTCCACAGTTGTTGATCTGGTACAAAAGTGCTGCAGAAATATGTTAACCCCATGGCTGCATTGCAAGGAAAACAGCTTGCTCGTGGCACTTACAGACACTGTGAGGTTTTCCCAAGCAATCAAAGATGCGTTGATCTTGTTGCTCTCCCAGAAGAGCAGGGTCTCATTGGTAGGATGGGCTGGGGCTTCACATTTACAGCTGGGAGGAAAGAAGGCAGGAGAGGGATAAGGAAAAGGCAACAACACGGTAGCTCTGATCTCTAATCAAAAGGCAGCAGCATCTTAGGGGAGAAAACCCAAGAACTCACTAGTAGATGGTCAGAAGGTCAAGCTTGCTGTCCACGTGGATGGGGTAGGCCTCCCCCAGCCAAAACAGCTTCTCTAGAGCCTCATAGATGAAGATGATGCAGATGAGGGCGGCGAAGGCCTCTTCGGTGAAGCGGGTGATGTAGCACACCAAGCAGCTGGCGTCGGTGGCCACGAGGACCACGCAGAGGAAGGCAGTCCACAACCCAATGCAGGCCCTCAGGGAGAGATAGGAGAGCCCGTAGTCCCTGCGAGAACAGCACCGAGGGTGTCAAACGCAGCAGGAGACACCAAGGCTTGGAAGGAATTCAGGAGCGCATCGAAGCTCGGGACAACGAAGCCGGTTTCCGTGTGCCACAGCCAGCCCCGCGGCTGCGGCGCAGGGTGTGGGCCGAGAAGAGGGGAGGCTAATTACATAATTAGCAGTATTTAATAATTATGCTGCGTTAACGCCTCCGAGGCTCGCTGAGGTCGGGTTGTGCGAGGTGTCACACATGCACATAAGCCCGGTGCCTGGCTACAAACCCAGCAGGGCTTAAACACAGGAATAGTTTTAATCACAACGGGATCGTTATTCGGGCTGTATCACATACTGGAGCCATTACAATAACACAGATAGTCAAGAAACTGTGCTACCCTCCCATCCTTAGGGAACCAACTACTTCCACGCCATCACTTACTAAAGCAGTAGCATTCAAATGCATAACAGAGGGACAACTTAAATCCTACAATTGCCTCTAAGGGGAGAGGGGAAAAAAAGGGAAAAGCCTCTTTTCTGTGATATTCCCTTATTTTCAAGGCTCTTGCAGTGCCCAGGCACAGCACCCTGCTCAGCCAGCCCCCCAGCCTTACTTGCAGAACTTGTAGAGGATCTTTTCAAACACCAGGACGGGGCCGGTGCTCCCGAGGATGGTGAGAGGCTGGCCAGCAAACAGGGAATACATCACTCCGGTCATGGATGCTCCCAGCAGCGACTCCATCGCGCTCTGCGGAGGAACAGAGGCCGCGGTGAGCAGACACCGAGCAGGAACAACCAGCTCCATCCATGGGAATGACATGGATGAAGCACCGAGCTAATTCGGGACAACCAAATTAGTGTTTTTATTTTAGTATTTTTATTTGGGAGCTCCGGGCAGAGGAGTCGCTCTCACTATGTGCCCTTTGGTCGCCTCCCCCAGCAGCCCGCCGAAGGTGATGACGGGGGACATGCAGGCGCAGTAGAGGAAGAGGAAGGACGCCAGACATTGCAGGCTCAGACCGTCCCGAAAGTCACTCCAGAACCAGGGGGCTTTTCGTTTCACATCCAGGATCAAACCTCCAAAAAGCCTAGAGGGGAAGAAATAAAAATGAAAGAGGACAACGGCAAGGTGCTCTTTTTACAAGCCCAAAAAAGAGGAATCCCCAAAACAGAGCAACTTTCAAGCCTATAAAGCATCCTCCTCCTTATCCTCCTTATTTTACATCCAAGAAAAAAACAAGGCATGGGGAAAAAGGGGGGAACAGGAGGACTCAGCAAACAGAGACGTGACTTAATACCCAACCCTCTCTTACTTGGAAAGTCCTTTGCTTAAAAAAGCAGCCCAGCTGCCCTGGGAGGAATTTAAACACCTTCTTGCACCCCAAATCAAGAAAACCTGTGTGCAGCAACGCCTGGGTCTTACATCTTCCCCTGCCACCTGGCCCAGATGGGCCAACTTGTTAATGTGCAACTCAACCAACCAACCAACCAACCAACCAACCAACCAACCAACCAACCAACCAATTCAAGACACCTGCTCTAAGCTGCATGCTTGGGTTTTAGGAGGCAGAAAAAGTAACCCTTGAAGTTTGCACCTTCCTGTCCTCTGTAGCTCAGGACCACTGTGTTTTTCAGGTTCACTATGACCATCGGTGTCATCAAGGGCTCCTGGCGTCTTCCTTTTTTTCTGGTGATGTGGAAATAAGGTAAAGATACATATTTTAACTCTAGTTTGTTTTGCTTCTGATCTGGATATTTGACCTGTTTGTATTTTGGTGTTTACTTTGCACTAAAACTCCTGGTGCCAACGTGGCTCAGGTACCAATGGGAAAAAAGACGGAATCTACCTGCGAAGGGACGTTCTTTGGGGGCTCAATTCTGATCGATGGATCCCACTCTCCAGGCGGCAGGACTGTGACCTGGTCTAGGAACTCATCGATGCCAGCCACGAGGTCACTGCGGTCCTTGGCTTTATAGGCAACATCGTGGAAAACCTGCAGATAGGAGGAGACCTGAACCCATGAGAAAGCAACGCGTTGCGGTTTCCTAACAGTGCAATGAGCATTTGGGTGAATAAAAGTCTTTTTTTAAAGAAAAAAAAAAGCAAAAAGCACTTGAACTTCCTGAAAATTTTCCTCCAAGGAAAAAAAAAAACAGTGCATTGTGGCATCCGTGGTCATCTCCTCCATGAGGCTCTTCCCCCATGACACACCAGAGCCTTTTGCTCAAGGATGAAGGGTTTTGCTGGCCATGGTAATGCCATCCCAAGGACAGTGGGAGATTGGGGAGCCCCAGTGATAAGGATGAGCTGCAGGATGCACCCAGGCTGCCAAGGCTTGGGATGGGATTTCAGCCTCTGGCATTTGGGAATGACATGAATCCCAACGGTTGCTTTGCAGGGGGTCAATGAGGGATGGATTATTTGGAAAGCGGGTGGCAATAACTAAAGCCGATGTGTTTCCTCACTACTATGGAAGCAGAAAGAGGTGGTTTAGATGGAGAAAGCCAAAAAGACCCGTAGGGATCTCACGCATCTCATCACACCTCATCTGTCATGAGTGTAGCCATGGACCTGCCAATCTCATGGTATTGATGAGCTTTTCCTTCTGGTCCGAGCAAAACAAACAGGAACCTGGGCAAGAAAAAAGAAACAAAACGAGAGAGAAGAACATCCCCTTGCTTAAAAAGCACCCAAAAAACACACAGGAGCTCCCAGCCCAAAGCGTGTCTCAGGAGAGGTGTCACATAAGGTTCTTCTGAGCTCTAGTAGGGGTGGCATTTGCCCTCCACTGCCTCTTGCAAATGGGATGACTAGAGGGGATTTTTGGTTGTCTTGGCCATTTGCTTTTCATGAAATTCATCAAAACTGATAGTCCTTGAGAAATTTATTGTTGAGCCAACTTTGGTTGAAATCAGCTAATAGATTTAAAAACGACAGTGGCGAAGACAGAAATGAAGATGAGGAGAGAGGGGTGGGAGAAACACGGACTCACTCACATTGGCCTCATCTCCTTGGGAAGCCAAATGAACATCTGCAACTTGACTTTTTTTCTTTCCTAAATAACAAAGCTTGTTTCTTATTCTGACCTTGTTGGGATGGGAACTTCCGTCATGCCGGAGAGCAGAACAGCCGGATTCAGCCGTGCAAACGCCACGATGGGCCGGCGAAGGAAATCCAGCTCTCCTACAAGAACGTTTGACGCTTCAGCCCCGGTAGGAATTTTCTTCATGAAGTGCAGCTCCGCCTGGCCACAATATGCAATTTTCAGGGAATTACCCCCAAATTAAAGCCCTTGGTTCCCTGCAGTGTTGTCTGCAGCCAACTTTCCCATCTGGCCCTAAAGGAGCAAGTAAGCTGCATGCATGTCACCTTGCTTAAATCCATTGGGCTGGTCTCGCTGTTTGTCCCATTTTTAGCTTCCACGGTGGCAGGAGGTTGATGGAGAGACAGTGTTTGGGCTGATGGGGAAAGGAAAGAGAGTAAGAAAGATAAAGTCAAGCAATTGGGAGCCTTTTTCTAAGCCTATGGGTCCCGAAACTGTGCAGAAACCCGCACCCGGTTTGTCGGGGAGGTGCAAATCTGTCTGCCTCTTGTTCACGTCGGCGAAGGAGCGGACGATGGGGAGGAGGTTGTTTCTCTTCTTCTCGTTCTGATGGTGATGCTTCTTCAGAAGGGCTTCCCGCACTCTCATCCGCATGCGCTCGTCAAACTCGCTGGACTGTTCTTGCTGATCGAGGATCATATCTGGGGAGGGTGAGGAGAAACGAATCCCATTGGGGTGGAAAAGCCCCAGCTCCAGATCCCTAAAGCTCAAGGGAAAAGGCTGCAGTGCCCAGTATAGCTCAACACCAATGAGACCTCGTCTAGACAGAAGCATTAACAGAATCCAGCCTTTGCAAAGACAACAAGAATTCTCTTTTGCTAAAACACCTCTTCAAAGTGCTTATTCAGCACACAGCGAATATAATCATTTCCCCTTCTAAATAACACAATTTTCTTGCCCAATCTGGCCTCACTGCAGATTTAACCAGATTATAAGCACAGAGTTTCCCTGAGTTTCCTTGGTCAATTGACTTTAATTTGCAGAGCCTAGGGAGAAATGTGCTAAGAATGGAGCTGACTTCACCAGCTCATGCAAGGCTTGCATGGAGACCTGCCAGTCAAAGATAATTTCTACCAAGCTGCTTTTTCAATTAACTTCAATTATCTTCCACACAGAAATACATTCCTTGGTCATCTGCCAGATGAACTCTGTGTTTGCAATGCTTAAATCCTAGACTATAAGGAAAAACAAAAAAACAAGAAAAGGGAAATGTTTGTAATATATAGTTTGCCCAATGAAGTTCAGCTCTTCTGCAGGTTGCACGTTTCTAAGAGCAGCTTCTTAAGCTCTATGTCGCGCTCCTCTTTGCATGGAGAAAATGCTCCAGTCACTTCTCCAGATCCACAAATTGCTTTCAGAAGGATCCCGTATCAGTCAAACCAAGCGAGTGTGGTCAGAAATCCAGAAAACTCATGACTCGAAGCAAAATAGACATCGGCAGCGCCGTTTGGGTTGGATTTGGGAGCTACGGGAATGCACGGCACGGGGGCAGGCCCAACACGGCCGCTGCTAACGGGACCGTCCGCTCGCGGCCGTACCTGCGATCTCTTCGATGCTGTTGGCGCGCAGGTCCAGCAGCACGGTGCCGTTGATGATGCAGCTTCGCAGCTCGAAGAGGCTGTGCAAGGAGAGCGTGGCCACGTAGGGCTTGCTCCAGCGCTCCCCGCCGTCCTCCACGTCCTCCTCGAACTTCAGCCACCTGCAGCGTTTCAGCAGATAGAGAGCGGCTGCCGTCGGCCCCGCTCCGGGCTGCTAAGGATGATGAATTGGGAGCGGAGGGATGGCAGGAGCCTGGATTTACCTGGCCGTCTCCTTCCACTCCGCGTCCTCGCCCTCTTTCACGCAGATCTCGTCGAGCTCGGTGAATAACTCATGGGGCACGTGCTGCTCGTCCTCCTCGGTGCCGAGGATGAACTGCACCCGCTGGGATGGGGTATCTGGCGGAGGAAGGCAAAGCCCCATCCCGTTACCGTGCGGCGCTTCAATGCATCACGCTCCCGTGCAAAACGGATATCGGATTCGCTTTAGTTCCGCTGCAAATACTTGGGCTGGCTCCTCTCCTGGGAGACACCTTAAGCCTGGGTCACTCCAAGGAAGAAGAGCAAACTAAAACGCATTTAAATGCACTAAAAAGCCCTCGGCTGGAGGGTCTCTTGGGCATCCAACTATCCGCAGGGCGCAGGGAGGTGGCACTCACCGCGGTAGCTGTGGCCCGCTTGGGCCGAGCCCTTCACCCGCTCCCGCTTCCGATGTTTCTGACTGTGCGGTCGGTGGTGCCGGTGGCTCTGCCTCACCAGGGGCATCCGCACGCCCACATACAGGGTCCGGTGGCCTGCAAAAATAGCAGCATCGGCTCCGTGTTGCGGAGGCGGGGGGGGGCTGGACGACATTGCTCGTTCCTCCCTGGTCGACAACAGCCTCTTCATCGGGTCTCTGTTCAGCGAAGAGGAAAAAGGGAAAAGCGAGGGATGTGCAGGGCTCAAAAAGGGCTTTGCAAGCCCACACAGAGCAGCCTGGATCCCCCCTGCGCCCCTCAGATCCCAGAGAAACGCGTCTCCGTGTGTCTTCCCTTGGTTTGTAGGAGGGAGCCTCACAATAAAAGGCTTTTCTTTCCATACCAAAACAGAGCAGCCCCTGGGATGGCCATTTTTGGCCATATAATGTTTTTTAACGCAGCAAACTAGAAGTGAGCAGAGCGTTTCCAAGCGGGAATGACCTCCCTCTCCCATCTTGTGAAGGATTTGCAAACTAGGGGGGAAACAAATAAAATCCCACACTTTTTGGCCCAGCAAGCTGCTGGTTGCAGCGGTCTGAGGCTCTGCATGGCGCTGCCTCGCTGGCAGATCCCTGCAGGACTCACTAGATGGCACTTGGCCACCGGACATGGCCACGGAGGCTCCCAAAAATCCCGCGTGCGCCAGCCTGCGGCTTGGGCAAAGCGCGGCTTCTGCAGGAAGCATCATTTTCCCCTTTGGGAAAGCAAATGCGAGAGAACCAAAGCCTTTCCCTGCTGGGAATAGTGTCACTGCAAGAAGCTGGGATTTATTTCCCAGGCCAGGAAGAGAGTTTGCACAAAAGAGGAATCCGGGAGCGAGCGAGCGCCGCGAGCAACAGGGAAAAAAAGCAAGCCCTGCTCCCCTAAGCAAAGGGATCCTCACGGCAGCACTAATGCAAAGCTCGTTATTTCCCATTCGCTTCTGAATTAGTCCCTTACCAAAGGCGCGAAGGCGGCCTCGGAGGTGGGAGTTTGCAATCAGCAGGATTCAGGTTTGACAGCGAGTTTGCTGCCGCCGTCACGACGACCGAAACTCCGAGCAAAGCTCTGTGCCCGATCCCCAAAACTGAAGTTTTCAGGAGTACAAAATGCTGACAAAAGCAGCGAAATCAAAGGGCTTTTTTCTACCAAATTCAAGCAGCAGTTAGCTTGGAGACTGCCCAAAACTCCCAATTCTGCCAATTCCTCTCCCAAAACCCTCTCAAGCACCACTCAACGCCAGCGCAACCTGCAAGCTAAATGTATAAGCTCAATCCAGCTGCAGGGCAACCTTGGGGCTCGGAAAGCCGGAGAGATCCCGGGATTGGGATGTCCCAGCAGGAAAATGCTGCCTTTAAGCGGGGGCAGCCGCACTACCTGCCGGCTCCGCAGCGGCTCCGAGCTGTCGCTGCCCCTCTCCGGCTCCTCGCCATCCGTCCGGGCTGGATGAGCCTCCGGCTCCCGCATGGGATGGGCTCAGCGGAGCCAGGAGGCTCCAGCCGGCATGGGACAGGCCCGTGCCAGGAGTCCCGGTGGAGAGGGCTCGTGGAAACCCCCGGTAGGCCCCTAATTCCAACGGCGCTTGGTTTTATCGGAATCCGAGAATTCGTCTGGTGGTTCCAGGCAGTTATTTAAAGCCACCACCAAGTCGGACAGCTTGGGAAACGCTGCCCTTGACGGCACCGCTGGGAAAATCACTGCATTTCCCTCCGCACATGGCCGGGATGCGACTGCATCGTGTCCTGGGGACCACTTTAGGCGCTGGGTCTGGACACCTGTACCCAAAGCAGGAGACTGGAAAAAGGAGTGCTGGACAGCTTGGGAAACACTGTCCTTGATGGCACTGCCGGGATAATCACTGCATCCCGGCATCGCGTCCTGGGGACTGCTTTAGGGGCTGGCTCTGGACACCCAAAGCAGGAGACTGGAAAAAGGAGCAGAGAGGTTGCAAAGGCACCGGCACGGGAGCATTTCCCGCTGTCGGCTCGGCCGGAGCAGGATGCAACCGTGAGCTGGAGGCGCAATGGCAAAACGGGGCGGAAAAGTTAAACTCTGCATGTCATGAAATGCATCCTTCAATCTGCGTCCTTCCTCCTGCATCCCTCCTCCTGCCCCCGGCACCTCCAGCCACAGCTTTATTTGCACCCTCAGCTAATCCATCCCTCCGAGGCTGCAAATCCAAGGAACGTCCTCCCCTCCAGCACAGAGGTGAGCAGCCACGGCTTGGCCGGAAAGGCGACACCGGCTGTAAGCGGAGCCGGACAGGGAAGGCGACACCGAGGGCTAATGGGATAAAATCCCGGCGGCAGCTCCGCTCGGATCCCCACTGCCTGTTTATTATTTCATGCTACAGAGACAGGAGGGAACGTGGCCGTGGCCCAGTCCGGTACCTTCCCGCTTGGAGCATCCCGGCCTGCCCCAGGGCATCCCTAAGTCACCGTGAGCTGCTCCGCAGGCGGGTGCCTAAAGGAAGGACCTGCTGGTGCCTGCACCCAGATTTAGCTGGAATTACTTTTCCCATGTTCCGATGGGAAGCGAGCGGATGGGTCCCAGCACAGGGCAGCTCTGAGGAGCCCTGAATCCCCCTGGCTTGGCCCAGCTCCATCTCCGACATCCATAAGGACGACACTATGGATCCCATGCTGAGGTTTTCCGGTCTGTGCCGAGCAGGGTTTCGAGCTCCGGTGCTTCCCTGCTGCCAGCAGGCTTAAAATGGAGGCTCCCGCATAGGAGACACCCCCGGAGCCCCCAGGCTGGCAGGAACAGGTCGCATCCGCGCGCTCTGTGGGTCGCATCCGCCTGGGAGCGCGTCCGTCCCTTCCCACACCGATGCTCCCCCACAAGCCCGGGGGCCCGCCGTGCCCTCCACTGACGCTAAGGGCATCGCGCTGCCGTCGGGACGGCTCCATCCGCGGCACCTCCCGGCATCCCAGCGCTCCGGTGCACAAAGACCCCGGAGCGCCGAGGACACCCGGCACCTTGCGCTTCCCTAAGGCGCTTCGGCAAAACATGGATTTATCCTCCCTTGTGCCTCCATCCGCGCGCTGAGCTGGAGCAGGGGACATTTCTGCGCCCTTCCCCGGCAATCCGGAATTCGGGGCCGGATAACGCGGAGCTGCCGGGGGCTGCTGGCCCTGCTCATC